ATAAAAATATTTTATTAGAAGCTTGCTCGTGTATTTTTAAATATTCATGAATAAAGTGAGTTATTTGTTTTTCAAAGTCATAATTTAACATTTTTGGTCCATTTATATCCAAAGGAACAAGCATGTTCATTTTCGTTTTATCAATCTCATAAGCTTGATGAGCGTCATATACTTCCCTATCAACATGATCAGGCAATTATTCCATCTACTCCATAAGCAACAATATACACTTTATCTTTAAAATCAGCAGGGTATGAGTCCATGTCACTCCCCTGGTGTTCGTAATGCACAGTTTAATAAATATAAACAGGCGCACTACCACTTGTCCGTTTGAAATAAACTAATATGTCTTTGCGTAATATAATAATTTTCGTGTATTGTGTTGATATAGGTTATATTGATACTTTTTGTGTGTTATAACCTTCAATGGCACATACCTGTCCCAGTAAATGTAATAAATGTTTAAGTCTTTATTATAAATTTTTATCATGATAGTATATTCATCATTGGTTATTGAACGGAGCATTGTAAGCCAAGTCTCCAGATGTTGCTGTTATCTGGGCTTTTGATTGGTGATAGGTTCAAGCATTTTTTATCCCAATAATGAGGACAAATATTTAGAATCATCAATGTTTCAAACATTACAGCCATATTCTGTAGACCATTCATTAACATCATTCATGAGATACTGAAACACATTTTTAACAGTATGACTTGGCTTTATTTAATATTTGTCTTTTTAATTTGATCATCAAGATATTTTTTGTTAGGGACGGACCATTAGAAAACTTATGGGGGGGGGGACGAAGTACAAAAAAAATATTTGCGCAAGGGAAAATTAAATGAAAAAATTCATGCACGCCAATTAATCTCAAAAAATATTCATGCTATGGCCTAAAAAAAGTTCATACAAGGAATTTGATGACGAAAAAAAATTCCTGCGGCTCGAAAATTCCCTTCCCCCCCATAACCTTTCTAATGGTCCGTCCCTTATAGCTTCATCACCTGTAACAGGATGAAGTGACAAACCAGTTATTCGATTATCATCCATATCTAATGAGCTCACCATTAGTGAAGTTCCATCTGTTTTAACATAATGGGATAATTAATTTTCAACAAATTGTTTATTTACTACATCCGTTGAATTTTGTGGATCATTTAAGCCACTCATTCTATGATTATCCATTTGTAAATTCCCGCTATTTTTAAACTCTCGTTTAGTTTTAAAAATCTCTACATTGATTATATCACTATCCAATCCATTTATTTCATAATTGAATAATACTTTTTGTTTACGGTCAAAATTTTGATGATGATCTCGAATACTGTAGGGTTTAATAGACCTCAGATACTCAGTGTCAACCACAACATCGTTGACCGTAAAACCTTGATTCAGATTGAAAACTTCCTCCTCTAACATCCTAATCATTATTTACATCTGAGTCCAATAGATGGTTTTCACAGTGACGTCATCAAATTGTAAAGTCAAAATAGCGAGGTTTTACGAATCTCTTATTTACACTAGGTTGAAGATAAACAAAAAGTAAATCTTTGTACAAGTTTCCATTCCCGTAGAATGTTTCATTTCGAAAATACAGCAATTTGAACTTCCGAGTTTTCACAGTGCGTGACACCAAAATGGGAATGCTGTCTCGTTGAAAAAACGTCTCTCCTCTTGATTTTCAGCAGTATAACCAGTTTAAGTATTAGAAGATATGTTTTTGCCCACGTCTGCTTAAGTTCTCGAGTGAAAAGAAAGAGCTTTTATAGAAAAAGTGAACTCCAGATGTTTTAGTTGATTTCCAGCGGCCATGTTGGTGCACCAAAACGGTACACCAATATGGCGTCTCCATACAAAGTTCTACAAAGGTGCGTGAAACGTTTCGGCAAATAACTCAGAAAATGTGGGCCACAAAGACCTGAGACTTTGGCAAATTGTTTATCTATTAGTCTTTTGTAACATTTCATTTTCTTGGCTTCTTCCACTGGACGGTTTCCAATTTAATTAATTTATTTTTTTGGTGTTGCGTGACAGTGAAAACAATCTCTCTTCTATCTTTTATTGGCAATGTATTGTTTCTCCGGAAGAGAAACATTTGTAGAGTATTGGCAGTTATTAATTAAGTGATTTGAGGGCGGCGCTCTTTCGATTAAATGTAATAGAATATTGTTTTCGATTTTCGAACGAGCGGCGCGGTGCTTATTTTTGTCCGACTTCAATTGAGGGTGGTGCTCTTTCGAGTATACGGTTTGTATTGTATATGACGGGTTTATTACATTTGTGGTTAATTATCACATTTGTGGCTTCAACATCGTTTCTTAATTCACGTCATCTTCCAGATCGCTGTTCTGCTCCGTGCCTCTGCCATATTGGATCTCGCATCTGGGCATCAAAGTGCATTCTGGTCTATGGCACACCTAGGCAGTTGCCAGCTGCACAATTTGTTTTTTTACTATGGAACTCATAGGCCATATTCACTTTTTTTTCCCTTGTATTTTATATTCCTTGTTGTGTGACTCAGGAAAAAATAATAACAGAAAAGAAATAAGAATTAAAATTTAAACGATAGTATTAATAAACTAAAAATTATTGGAACAAATAACTTATTTTTCCGTTATCCTACAGCTTTTTCCTATGGCACATATGGGGTACCATACCATACACCACTGTGTCACAACACCTCATTCGAGTTCCATTTCGTAGCATTCTTTGCTTTCTTCTTTACACATGCACTGAGTAGAAATGTCTCAGCGAGGCGTCAGACTTATTAACTGTTTTGTGGTTTCCATTCTTTTCTCAGATGCAGGGACAATATCCACCCCAACCCGGCTATCCCGGCATGCCTCCACAGTTTCCTTCTGTGCCATCAGCCCATCTAGAAAGCCATGGACAAAGGCAGAACTGTCCAAACGGGCAAAGTATGTAACTTAAACATGATATTTTACTCGTTTAACGGAGACTATATTCACTATAGTCTCCGTTAGTCTTAGTTTAAAAACTTACTAACTCCGTAACAGTTTAAAACTGACTCCTGGAGCAACCTTATTACCTTGAGCTGTCCAAAACTGCTTACTCTTTTGCCTGTCAACTCAGTGCGTCAACAAAAATTGAAAGTATAAAGGTCGATGAAGCTTATTACACTGGGCGACAGACAGACTCGCTGCAAATAAGTCGAGTCTAATCAATATTGCTCAACAGCAAAGAGCTTTGGAGGAATCTGGTCAATAGAGCATTTTTTTAATTGATTTAACCGCCTTCGAATGTCGTGACAAAATGGCGTGTTTTGACCTCAAGGGTCGCTTTTGTTTGGCGTTCAAACATTTTCCCTGCAGGATTGCCCAAAACTTTTATTGCATTTATTTGAAGAAGACACCTTGCTCTATCTAGCGGTAGGTAAGTTATGGCTCAAAGCCGTATACCAAGTAGTGATTTTTGTGTCTGAAATTTGCTAATTTTATGTCTGTCAAAAATCGGTAAAATAAGTAAAATTATTAAAAATCCGAAAAATATTAGATTTGCTGTCGAGTAGGAAAATTGTACATCGAAACTATTGGTTAAGTTTTGTTCTTTCTATTAAGACTTTCAGAAGCAGAGTTTGTTACTTCTTTAATTTCAAGCGATTTTTAAGTAATATATGGTCTTGAGCCTGTGAAAACTGATCTCAGTGAGAGCCTCCGAACCGACTCGGTCGCCGTACACATAAAATGAAAATCCAATTGAACTAAAAGTTATTTTTTAGAAATAGTTTACCTAGACCTATATTCTGACAAAGTTTGGGGATTTTCGATTTTTTCATTTTGCACACCCCCAGGCGATATTTCCGGACGGCCGCTCTTAAGTATTCATTGTCATCTACAAATTCTATTTGGTCAGAGGCCCAGTCTCATCTACCCAAGAACATTTACAAATTTACCATCGGCTACATCAACAACTCCCTCCTTACAGGTAAGAATATGTCAAGGTGGGGATTATCACAAAGTCCTGATTGCTCCTTTTGCCTTATCCTGAATCACTCCCTCATGTTGTCGCTGGTTGTCAACAGTACCTTGATCGCTTTACCTGGAGACACGACTCATTCCTTAACTTCATTGCCAAGTCACTTCAACCTGTAATTGATGTTCACTCCTCACTCTATGCAGATGTTAATAGTTTTCTGAATCCCTCAATAATAACTGCTGAATATTATCGTCCAGATCTTCTTTTCCTAATGCAGTCCAAGTGCCTATAATTATGTTCTAGAATTAATAGTTGGTTTCGAGTCTAACCTTAACAACAATGCAGTGCGTAGAAAAGAAAAATATCTGAACTTGATCAACGAAATGAGTAGAAATTAAAGATGTGTGAAATTTGTAAATCTCTCCATGAGCTCCCTTGGTGTTTTCTCCGATGAATGCTCCACGTTCTTAGACATGATGAATAACATTGTCATTGACAAAAAGCAGCAACTTTCTATTATCAAGAAAATGATAAATATAGTGAGTAGAGCAACTTATGTTTACATAAGCTCGGATTCCTTTGTTCTTTTCGGGGGGAATATATTACATAATCCCGGAATCAACCGTCTGAAAAGCTGGGTGCGGCTTTGATTGTTTGAAGGGAAGAGCGGGGCTAATGAACAGCTAATTAAAATGCGAGGGGATTATGTATTAATATGCAAGGGGGATAGGTGACTTATCCCCTTGCATATTAATACATATTACATCTTTTGTTCTAGAAATAGGAATTGGGACAGCCCCGACTTAATGCAATTTTGATTTCTTTTCTTTTCCTTTCTTTTTCTTTTTTTCTTTTTTTGTTTTGTTTTGTTTTGTTTTTAATATTCCAATCTCAAGCAGCATTTGTAAATTACCTATACGTAGCGAGATTTACAATTGTACATTAAAAAACACAAATAAAGTTTCCATTATTATTATTATATTAGTAGTCATGTAGTAGCGGAAGCAGCAGCAGTAGCAGCAGCAGTAGTAGTAGTAGTAGTGATAGCGGTGGTACGTTTTGTGTAATTTTATTTGTCTTTGTTTTATCCATAGTTATTACCCACTGGAACCCGAACGACCCAAAAAGCCACGTGCTTGGCGGCTTTTCTTACAACAATGCAGGCGGACTCACAGTCCCATTTACTGGACGCTATTACGTCTACGCCCAGCTCTTCTTTGTCCATCAGCCATCTCCGTCAAAAAACCGCGTGTTGGTCATGGCAGGCAACAGAGTTCTTCTCATGATCAACAAGGATTTACCAGGAGGTCCAATTGAAGAGACCGGAAGTGCTGGAGGAGTGTTTTTATTGCATGCGGGAGAGCAGATCTCCCTAAAGCCTGATCGGAATGATACCAGTATGTGGTTCCATCCAGAGCATTGCTACTTTGGAGCATACATGGTCTCTGCTTAATTAAGCTTAATATCTCAGACCAATGTTTAGGCTTCAACTTTGAAGTTTAAATTAGCGAATTTTGTTTTGAATACTGACAGTGTAGTTAGGACCAGTAAATATAAACAATATGTTTTCGTTGAATTAAAAAAAGATGCTAACGTTATATGAACTTTTGAATGGATTTTTATCCAGGGAATATGCTTGGGATAGTCTTGTCTGCTTCTTTATCTTGCGCAATTAAAAACTGAGAACCATTCTTCGTAGTTATTCGATGGATTACTTAATTGGTTCCAGTTTTAGTCTAAGTTTAAGTCTTCTTTGGTCGAACACAAAGCGGGAGACTCGGCCGAGTGAAACACTTCGCGGGGTCAGATTTGTGTGCGTTCGTTGCTAGGCTCGGAACATTTGAAACCGAGATGGTCACCTGTAACGCAAAGCTGATGCTCAATCAATCAATGGATTGATAAAGAGGTGTTATTTAACAATTAATGAATGAGGCTGAGTATCTTATGAAGAATTATGGAGATCGAGGAGGGTGTTATCCGTCTAGGCCGTAGGCCGAGGCGGGTAACACCTTCCGAGATCTCCATAATTCTTCATATGATACGAAAGCCGAATTCAATAATTGTTTTATTATTCATTCAAAATAATTCCTAGTTTAAAAGCATGGCTAAATCGTGTGTCTCACGAAAAACTCCTCATTAAGCTTGAATGCCTTGGTATTGGTGGATCCTTGTTAGCTTGGTTTAGATCATATTTATCGGGTAGGAGACACAGAGTCGTGATAGGGAACAAGTCGTCTGATTACCTCCCTGTTACATTTGGAATCCCGCAAGGGTCAATTTTGGGGCCTTTACTGTTCTTGCTTTTTTATCAATGATGTGCCTAATGCAATTTCAAAGGAAACATCGTCACCCCTCTTTGCTAATAACTCAAAGTGTTTTCGCTTAACTCTTGGGCGGGATGACGGCGACAAATTGCAGGATGACTTGAATAAGTTATGAGTTTAATTCCAAGAAGTGTAAGGTTTAAAGGGTGGCTCGTTTAAGATCAATCGATGACAGGGACTATTACCTTGGTGGGATTAAGTTAGACCATGTTGATGTTGAGAAAGACCAGGTAACAACTGAGGTGCAAACACACACAACAAGTATGTAGACAATACACACAAAACGCACAAATACTGACAAAACAAAAAACAACAAAGGAAAAGACAAAAGGACAAAGAAAACAAAGAAAAACAAACAAACAAAGAATACATTACACAACGAAGTTTTAAGAAAGAGCGAAAAAAGGCGGCGAGGTAATTATTACCTATAAGACGCTGCCACAGAGCCACAGAGCTTGGGACAATCGTTTCAACTACACCCAATTGTTTTAACCATGCCATTCCCGTTTCAAAAAACAGACTGATGAAAAGCATAAACACAGTCAAATAAAATAAAACTGCGTCCAAAAAACCTAGATTTGTCTATAAGGGAACAAATCGTCCATCGATAAACAATTTCTCGGGTTCTGATTTGCTAAAGAAAGCAGTCTTTCCCTCCTCTCTTGATTTTTTAAGACGTGGCCACTGCTTTTTTCTTCTTTCGCTTATTTCTTAAGGAAAATTCGCGTAGACCTTAATATCGATAAGAATGTTGATATCGACGTCGAAGTTGCTGAAGGAGCCATTAAATCGGACTATTGATGTGTTTCCTTACTTCATATATATCTTTTTATTTCATTATTATTATTATTACTATTTTTTTTTTGTTTTTAGCAGTTGAAAGAAACTTTTGAATTTTAGAGGTTGACAGTTTTTTTTATTATTATTTTTTTATTATTGAAATGAAATGTTTGTAATTCGAAGAAATTTTTCTTAGTTAAATTAACTTTTTTTAAGCTAAATTAATTGCTTTTTAAATCTACAGGAATTGTAAATAGTGTTTTTGAATCCCTTAATATCGATATCATCCGCCAGCTCGCGTACTCTTCGAAAAACCAGCTCACGTTCTGGAAATCTCAAAAAACGAACAATCCCCGGTCTAGTTTCGCCCGTCTTCTTCTTTCCTTGTCTGTGAGCTCGCTGGAATTCAATATCTGCTGCGTTTTCCATCTCCAACTCGTCGCTAAGGAATTTTCGCACAACTTCATGCGTATATAATATGTTGTATATAACGAACGTGGGCTTAATTAATAATAATAATAAAAAAAAAACAGAAAATTTTTGATAGAATATCATTGCTGATTATAATAGATGCTGAGAACAAAACTCCATTAAAAATTATTGTTATCGCACTTTCTCTTTACACTGCAATTAGGATATTTTGGGGGCCCAGCGTGTCGCCGACAGTAGCAGACCGAGGAAGACGAAACACTAGTTACCAGGTTCCAATAGATTACATAGGCGACGTGGCATGAAAGCTGTTGGCAACTTTTTGGTTGATTTGTCAGAAGTTAGGCTGAGAGTCTGTGAAATTGGGACCACTTCTGGTGAAAATGACGACGTATCAAGACTTTATAAATCAAAATGAGGATCGTGATGGTGTTAGATTTAGTTGGAATGTTTGGCCTTCAAGCCGTTTGGAAGCTACACGAATGGTGAGTTGAAAATGACAAAATGCAGGAAAATCCGTTCTATCGTTGTTTTCAGCTGATCATATGAGTGAAATATTTTCAAATCGTGGTTTGATTTAGGTTGTTCCCGTTGGTTGTATGTTCACACCTCTAAAGGAACGGCCAGAACTTCCTCCAATTTGTTATGATCCTGTTCTATGTACTAGAAATACCTGTAGAGCAGTTTTAAATCCTTTTTGGTAGGTGGCATCGATGTGTTTGGAATTTCTTAGGCTTCTGTGATGTTTGTAATGTTCTTGTGATCTAGATGTTGCGGTAAGTTCCTTTCTTTTCTTTCTCCTTGATCAGCCAAGTGGACTATCGATCAAAAGTGTGGCATTGCAATTTCTGCTTCCAGCGAAATGCGGTATGAATTTTACTTTTTGCCTCATGTAGAGCTATTTAAGCTTACAGAGATTTTCTTTCCAAGATGTGTTGATGATTCTTTTAAAAATAAATATCAAATTTATTTTATAATTTTACTTGAGAGAAAATTCCTCAGAGTATCTTTCTAGACATACCGTACATACATTTTTTTACTTACATGTATGTGTTTGTTCATTGGCTCATCAGTGATTATCCAAGCCAACTGATGAGATTGGCAAGTCATCCCACCATCAAGACATTAAATTGCCATACATACTCTATTAAGCCACAAAAATAAAACTTTTCCTCCCCCATCTCCTCCATGTGATGTTGTGTGTTTTGATCTACCTATAGAAAGCAACAAAAAATTCCAACTTTGAATGGAGGGGAGGGGTGTGGATTCTTTTGCTCTCTGAATTTTCCCTATTTGAGTACAATGTTGCAACAATTTTGTCGCCAATTGTAGCTTTAGAAAACAGCCAACATTTCACAGTGCCACCACTGGTCTTCTGGAGAAATGATGTCTGGGGAACAAGCGCAGAAATGTCATGCCGATAATGCATCACTACCCAGATCTGCATAGTGCTTTTGATTGGATGAAGTAAATTTTCAACTAGTCAGAAGCACTTTGAGGATCTGGGTAGTGACACATCATCAGTATGGAAATTTTGCGCAGGTTGTCGCTTTTTTCTTTTCATAGGAGACCAAGTTGAGGGCGTTAAAAATATAGGCCATTAAATTCTCAGGCTACTAACAACTGTACTACGCCCAATCTCCCTAAGGCTTATCATTTTCAAGAACATTTGGAGGAGACCCATAAGGGAACAGCACTTACTCAAGCGTGCAAAATTCATATTAAGACTAGGATGATGCTTTAATTCTTTAGGCTTTTGCAAGAGGAGTTGGGGAGGTATTCTAGAGGGGAAGTATAACTGAAGATTGTTATTAAAGTTATTTTTTGGGAGGTTACATATCATTGTCTAAGTATACAAGTGACCTGCCAAACCATCAAGCCCAGCCTGATGTACATGTACACTCCCTACCAGCACTCAAAAAAAGACTCGAATTCCAGCTTGTCCTTTGGGTAAGCAGCTCTCTCGTTGAGCTTGCCTGGGGCTACCACTTTCTTGCCTTAGGTAATGATTTAGTTGGAGCATGATCTGCCTTACCCATCAGGCAGGTGAGCCTTATGAGTCACTACTCGTTCCAGACGAGCACACTTAACTTTTTTCAAGCCCTGCCTACCCCTACCCCATTTATAGGTCCATCTAAAACCTCATATTTATTCAACTGTGACAGGAGCTTTTTTGTTCAACAGTTTCCCCCTCAGTATGCTGGAATCACAGAACAACATCAACCTGCAGAGTTAATTCCACAGTTCTCCACTATTGAGTACACTTTACAGGTAGTAAAAATAATGACCACTTGTCTCTGTGCAACCATACAAACTTAGTGTAATGGTTTTTCACGTTCTTTATTTTTGTTGAATGCACAGACACAGTGTTTTATCACTTATCAAGCATATCAACATGGTGTACCAGTAAATACAATGTAGCTCTACATGCCTTTTTTAAATGAATACCCCAGGAATGTCATTTCGCACCCTGATTAATACAACTATTTAATCATCATCAGCAGCAGCATCATCAACATCATCATCATCCTCACTGTATTGTTTGATTTTTTTTAGCGTGGTGGAGGATCGGGACCATTGATCTACCTGATTGTGTTGGACACATGTATGGATGATGAAGACTTTCAAGCTGTCAAGGTTTGGTTACAATGTTCATGGCTCACCTAATTTCTGTATTAATTTTTTGATGGTGTTGGAAATAAATTTTGCTTATCCTATTGGCCATTTTGAGGTCACTCTTGCAGAGCTGTCATTAAGAGGTGGGGGCCAGGGTTTTTCCCAGGCAACTATAAATGTGGCCCTCAGCTACTTTCGTAGGAAAATAGGAGAAAAATATAACCAAATTCGTAGCAATCTGATTCCCCACCTATTTGTTTTATTTACCCAGCAACTTGAAATCTAAGTGACATCCCTGGCTTGA